GGGTTTTTTTTGATGGGATAATTGGGCAAACATAACAAGGTGATCAATTAACAAATTGGGTTTATGAGCTGGGGAGCTGGAAAGGATTTATCCTGAAGGGCTTTAAATCCCACTGATCCTACAGAAATTATTCCAGTTATAATTTTATGGGGTTATTTTAGTTTAAGTTATACCTGTTGTGTCCTGGCCGTCTGTCCTGAGAGGAGAAAGTGGATTTTCAATGAACATCACAGTTATAAACAGCAGCACAAGGAATTAGAATTCCTCTCAGGGAACTTCAGCATGAACAGAACTCCTCAAATTCCCTAAACAAAGAACTTTGGACAACAAATCCAACTCCAATTCCTCCCTGAGATGGATGAAGTGAGAGGAATCTGTCCAAAATCAGGTAAAACTCCAGGACTCTTTGGTGACTGGAATTAATCAGAAGTTTGAATAAAGCAAAATTAAAGTTTAAGCCACAATGTAAGGCAGCAAATTGCTCAGCACTGAACAATAATAAATTCAATTTTTGCCTTTTCATGACTCACTAGAAAGCTTTGTCGCTTATTTTTGACCAAGTTTTGCCTCTCTCTGGTTGGACAATTCCTCCCTTTGGAAAGCTCTCAGGTGTGCACAAAAAAAAGAGAAAATTACCTGAAAATGTGCATCAAAATTCACTAAAATGGTGAGGAAAGGTGAGTCTGTCACTGGGAAATGTTTCTGCTTCTGCAGGAGATTTCAGAGGGGATTAAAATCTGATTAACAATCAGATTAAAAATCAATTTATCAGATTAACAATCTGATTAAAAAATCTGATTGTTCTGCCAGGTGAGGAGAGTTTGAGGCAGATTGGGGCCACTGAATTCTGAATTTCCAATCCTGCCATCATTTTCCTCTTTTTTAGGGGTTTCTCTTGTGTGTATAAAAACATTTTTATCCCCATTTCACCAAATTAAGAAATCTGAGGCCGCATGAAAAAAATCCACAATATCAAAACCTACAGATCAGCTCCCCAAAACAAATCTTTCATTTTATATATTTCTTTATATTTTCTCCCCTTTTTCATTTTGCTGCATGATGGAAAATTAGGATTGTAAAAGAAAAGTGGTTTGGTGCCATTTTGTGACAGGATTTGTGTCACCTGCAGGCTTTGTAGAGTGGGAAGAACACAAATAAATAATACTTTTTAAAATAAAAAACTATTTTAATAAATAACATAATATGCTATATATTTATATAATACATACTATATTTATTATATATATTTCTTTTAGATAGAATTATTTTTAACATATATTATTTAAATTTTATCTTTAAATAATATATACTATATAATATATAATATATAACATATAACATATAATATATAATATATATGATTATATTACATATAGTATAATTATATGATATATAGTCATATAGTATATGTTATATTTTAACACCATCAGTGCTGAAGTAAATGAAGCTCAGTCTCAGCACCAGAATTACAATTTTATCTCAATTCTAAGGACAAACGGACATGAAGGGGAAAATACAAAGAAAAGTGGTATTTATGTGAAAAAATAGCAAAAAAAAAAAAAAAACTTTTCTCCCATTTAAGATCCCCAAAGGATACAATCCAGCAGGAGCTTGGTAAGTGAGTGGTATTCTGATAAATCTGTCATTTTTGGGATTTGATTGTGTGAAAAATCTACTTCCTAAAGGAAAAAAAAACAAAAATGAGAGAGGAATTTGGGGTTATTTCTTCAGCATTTACTCTGGCTGGGAATTTGTTCCACTCTCCCACCACATGCAGGGGTTTGGTGTGGAAGAAAATATAAATATAAATATAAATATAAATATAAATATAAATATAAATATAAATCAGACACAAGTATTTGGGAAAGGAAAATGGAAAAGGAAAATGTGAATTGAGGTAAGAAAGAAGAATAAAAAAGGAATAAAATTTGACTTGCTCAAATACATCTAACTTTGATTCAGAAAAATGGTATTGAACTTAAAACTTTAATTTTTTAATTTAATTTTTTTTCAGACTTACCCTGAGGTTTTTGGGGGCTTTAAAATTGAAATACGTGGTCAGTTCATTATTGGAAGCATTCAGCTCTACTAAATAAGGCATGTGGCTGACACAGGAAAGATCTAGAAAAGAAATAAAATGTCAAATGCTGGGCCTGACTGCAGAGATCATCCCAGCAAAATGTGATAATTACATCCTGCAGCAATTAAGAGTTAATTTGGAGCTGCACGTGCAGAAAGTGATGCCTAAATGCAGAAATCAGAGATATTAACACCTTCTCCTAGAGGGGAAAAAAACCGGTGTATAAACCATAAAGAATAAATATCGAAGTTAGACATTTAATTTTCATTATGCTAGCTGACTTGCCTGGAAGTAAGAATTTATTTTTATATTTTTAGATATTGTTATGATAATATAATATAAAATAATATAATATAACATAACATAACATAGTATAACATAGTATAACATAGTATAACGTAATATAATATCATATAAATATAACATAGTATAATGTAACATAATGTAATATATTACATTATATTATATTACATTAATACAATGTAATTATGTATTAATATATGTAGTTAGATATTCTATATTATATAAAATATCTTATAAAATTATCTATTATATAGATTATATAATTATATATAATTTAATTATATAATCTATATAATTAGATAATTTTATATATATACAATGTAATGCAATGTATATATATACACATATATAAAATGTATATATAATAGATAATTTTATATGTATATATATACATATAAAAACATATATATACATATACATACATATACATATATATATGTATGTATATATATGTATATATAATAGATAATTTTATATGTGTATATATATACATATTAAATTATCTAATTATATATATTATATAATTAGATATAATTTAATTATATAATATATATAATTAGATAATTTTATATAATGCAATGTAATGCAATGCAATGTAATGCAATGCAATGCAATGCAATGTAATGTAATGTAATGCAATGCAATGTAATGCAATGTAATGCAATGCAATGCAATGTAATGCAATGCAATGTAATGCAATGCAATGCAATACAATGTAATGTAATGCAATGCAATGCAATACAATGTAATGTAATGCAATGCAATGCAATGCAATGCAATGTAATGCAATGCAACGTAATGTAATGCAATGCAATGCAATGCAATGCAATAATAAATGAGATTTCTAAGAACATGGAGTCGGATTCATCATTCCTGCCTGAAATGGGGGACCCCAAAAATGCCAGACCCCTTCACCTTGATGTCTGCTGGGGTAACAAACTGAGAATTTGAGCTCCATGTTCTCTGCATGTGCTGCTCTTAATGGCCTGAGGAGATTTTGGGATTTTGGAGGAGATTTTGGGATTTTGGAGGAGGTTTTGGGATTTTGGAGGAGCTCAAGCCTGGTCTGTGCAATGTTTGTCACCATTCAATGTCAGCCAGGCTTGGTGACACCAAACCTCCGCGCTCCACTGAATTTCTCATCTGCACCAGCTTCACCAGGCAGCAATTTGTGCTTGATTTACTCCATACCATTAATTTTATTGGAGGAAAGCTCCATTTTCTGCAGGTGAACGTATCCGGAGAGAATGCTGACGTCCCGCAGCCCACGACCCTGGGAAAAGGGAAGGATTTTAATCCCAATTTTAATAACTGGTTAATAACTCTGCTCACCCAAAGCCCCTCCAGCCGCAGCAGGACAAGGTGACTTTACAAAAAGTGATGGTGGAGCAGCCAGAAATGGAGAAAATGCCAAAATAAAAAGACATTAAAGCAACACAACCACTTCAAATTCCTGAATGCAGCATTCCTGGTGATTTACACATTCCTCTACTTTTTTTTCCTGAAGCTGACTGAAGGAGGAAGATACATTTTTCACACCTAACGACTGGATAAGGAAAAAAATATCATAAAATAATAATGATAATAAAAATATTACAATATAATATAAACATAATAT